TGACACTGGAATCCACACTCTGATAGTCCATTTCGGTCACTGTTGTATCTCTGGCACCTAGAGTGATGAGTGCATGGCCTGTAGCAGATACTTAGGGGCAGCCAATGAGGCAAATCTCGTCACCTCCACTTTACAGAGTGACAGTAATGAGGTTCTCTGCAGGCTTAAATAACTAATGTGGGTTTTAGAACCACTTGAGGTCAGGGTTAAGGCTGGAATCCGTATTATCCCAAGCTAAATGAAAAGAGTAACTGCAGGGAGAGGGCTGTGTGTAGGCTCTGTCTTCATGGGAGACATGTACCATGGTTATGGTGTGACCGTATTTTCCGGATGGCCCATCATTCCCAGGGGCAGTACTGCTGGATCTAGAGCTCAATGCTACCGGTTTTTAGTGCCTCTTTCATCCCAGGTTGAGAAAGGAGTGTGATGTGGGTACTGTTCCTAGGCCAACCTAACAGTGTGGTCGGGAAAACAGTGGTGCACCAGGTGTTTGCCGATGGCCCCTTTGGTCCTGGGAACTGTGCAGGATGCTGGGGCTGTAGTGGGAATGAGCTAGACACCCCGATCTTTCTGCCTGGAAGCTGAAGTCCTACAGGGGAGGAAAGGCTTGCAGGGAACCAGTCACCACGATTATTCACAGCATTAAGAAGGTGCTGAGGCTGTCTTGGGTAGCTTGAGGAAGGTGTTCCAGAACTCTTCCTGGACGATTTCACATACAAGCTCAAGTTTGTAATGGCAAAGTTGTCCATGGGAGAGGGAGAAGACAAGCAGGCCAAGAAAAAGCGAATAACCTGGGGACAGGGTGGCTCATGTTTGTAACCTCAGCAATTTGGAGGCTGAGGCAGGAGGATTACCAGGAGTTTGAAGTTAGTCTGGGCTGCATAGTGAGCTCCAAGCCAGCTTAGGCTATAGTGTAAGAACCTGTCTCAAAAAGGGGGCTGGAGAGCTGGCTCAGCAGTTACGTGCACTGGCTACTTTTTCAGAGGACCGGTGTTTGACTCCTAGTACCCACAGGGTGACTCACCACCCTCTGCTACTGCAGCCACATGGGGATGTGATGCTCTCTTCTGGTGTCTGTGGGCACAGCATGCACATGCTGCACAGGCATACATGCAGGCCATAAACTCATATGCATAAAATATAAACAACCTCCCCCGCAATGGCTGGGTATGGTGGCACAAGCCTTTAATCTCAGCACTTAGGAGGTGGATCTCTGTGAGTTCAAGGCCAACCTAGCCAACCCTGTAGCAAACAGTGACAGCAACAACAAAATCAAAAGAAAAATAAAAAGAAGTTCATGCAAAGATTCTGAGGCAGGGAGGAAAGTACCTAGAGAACAGGACAAACCCAGGTGGCCATGCTAGGCTGCGTAGCTTCTGGGGACCTTGTGGGTCCACTAGAGTAATGAAATGCCCAATGAGGACAGGCTCCGAAGCTGAGGGACGCCTGCCCATGGCATTTTCAGCTTTGTAACTGCAGGGATGCTTCTCTCTGCAGATGTGGGCCTCCTGTCCCCAGGGAGGGCCGTCCCGTCTTAGACACACAGAGAGATGGCCCTTCCATAGCCTTATTCCTCTTCCCAGGGCCCTGTCACTATCAATCTCCCCTGGGTGTTGGTGACTCTTGCCACATGCCTCTAAGTTTCCTAATATAGCCATACTGTTTCATTTCCAACTGGTGGCCAAGAGTGGCTCTCTGTTGCAGTCTCAGATTTTCTTGGGCTTAAAGGAGCCCTGTCAGCCCATCTCAGGCCAAATTTTAGCTACAGGTAGGTTGCTGGATTCAATTTCACACACTTCTCCAACCTGGAGATTAGATATCCCCGTTTCCCAGCTTCTCTGCCCTGCTCACACCCCTTCCCCCCCCTTTCTCTTTGGAGAAGCAGAAGGAAGGTAGCTAGGTATGGAATTTTGGCTCTGGTGACATATGAGCTATGCCACTTTCTAAGTCTTTCATCCTTGCCGAGCCTTGGCTTTTCTCCAGTTGTTTTCACAGCTAAAGCGAAAAGAGAATAAAAGTTGTAGGATGGACACATTCCATTCAGTCCTGCAAAATATTTGTATTGAGTCCCTTGCCCTATTGAGCTTCCTGCCAGTGAGGGCAATGCACAAAAGAAAAAGAAGATGGCCCGTTGTCTATGTACGCCACGAGGAAGACTGAGGCAGAAAGGGGACTAGAAACCTCGTGTGGGAAGTCAGGACCCAAGGCAGGAAGGAGTGAAGGCTTGAAGGCAGCAGGGGACCATGTAGGTACCTGAGGGAAGAATATTCTGGTCAGAGGGAAGGGTACACAAGATGGTCCTGAGGAGGAATACCCAAGAAAGGGGCCTCTAAGCCTGGAGTGGAGGGGGGAGGTGAGAACAGACAATTGGTGGGGATGAAGCTGCGGGGAGGGTTGGGTGGGTCACTACACTAGGGGCTTCAGCTTCACTCCTTAGCATGAGAAGGGGCAGAATGCGGTGATCTGTCTGTGTGTTTGGACGGAACCCCTCTGATTTGTTAGCCAGTTGCTGGCCCAGGATGGCGGACAGTGGCTTTAACCACCACCCGTCCAAATGGGGATGCTGAGGGGCAGGATCTAGACCCACTCACACGTTCCCCCGGTGGGATTTTTCAAAAACACTACTGGGTGTTGTTGTTTTCTGAATTTTCTTGTGTTATTGATCTTTTTAAATGAAAGCTATCAACTTGGTAACAGAGCCTTCAAGAGGCGGGGCCTAGCAGGAGGGTTATAGGTCACAGGGGACTGTCCTGCCTTGCTTTCACATCTAAAAGCTACAGCAGGTTTTTAAGGTTCTGGCTTGGGGATGTTCTTGTCCATGGTCTGGTGGCCCTTTTGTTTTCAGGTCTATATGGTGATGTGTGCTCATCATAGAAGGACAATAATGCTGCCCACTTCAAGAAATGAGAGGAAGGAAAGACACACCCCCATGACCTCTGACTAGGCCCCGCCTCTTAAAGGGTCCTGCTCTGAATACAGCCATGATGGAGACCACAGATATGTGAGGGACTCTTTAAGGTGCAGCAAAGGCTCTGACTGGCCACTTCAGGGCTGTGACATTGATGTCACAGTCCTTGTCTGTGTGACAGCTCAAGAGGTGGAGGTGGAGAAGCTGGTGTGTGTGTGTGTGTGTGTGTGTGTGTGTGTGTGTGTGTGTGTGTGTATGCGTGCTCTAGGGGACAGCTGTCTCCAGGCTGACATCTGGAACCGGGACCAGGAATGTTATTGGAGGTCAGCAGGACATACGCCATGGTTATAAAGCACCAGGTTATGTCATCAGCAAAGAAGCAGTGTGGGTGGAGCCTGCGGGTGGGATGGGAGTAGCTTCACCCCAGCTCTTCACAGAGCTCAGGTGACCTCCCTTACTGGCACAGCTGTCTCGAGCCACCACATCAAGCACACATCTTTTCTTTTGGTTCTCTTGGGATGGAGACTCATTAAGTCCAAAAAACCCTGTGAATTCAGGGGTGGTTGCTTTCTCTTTCTGACATATAGGGAAGCAGAGACACAGAGAGGTCAGGTTAGTTGCCTAAGGTCACACAGCAAGGGTAGAGGCAGTCCTTGGAGTCTATAGTCCTCTCCACTTGTGCAAGACTTGAGTGGTTGCTGACACATGCCCATTCCCATGAGGGGACTGCTTGTGTCCACATGGGCCCTTGGCTGCTGGCAGCTCCTGTATGTTATCACCAATTTGTCCACTACGTTTTCCATGGTTTCAACTTGACTAATGCCCGCAAGCCCACACAGTCACTGTTTCCAGTGCTCTAGCCTTGTGCTGCAGCGCTCAGGTGGCCTTGCACACTTGGAACTCCATTTACATTCATAATGTCACTTCCATGGGACCATGGGTACTTGGCTTCCTATGCTGTGCACACTGACTGTCCGCACCAGTGATCTCATGTGTGAAAAGACACATGCCTACACACATCTCTCTCTCTCTCCCTCTCTCTCTCTCTCTCTCTCTCTCACACACACACACACACACGCTTCTCAACATGTACACTGCTCTGAAAACTTGCTTCCTTATCTGTTCATGGCCCTAACTAATCACATCACCTTGGACAGTAAGATAGCCATGCATTCATTCCGTATACAGATGGGGTCTTGCCTGTTCACACCCATTTTCCTCTTCCGACCCCCAGTGGCCTTGCATGACCACTCGATCCTGCCTTTTCTTGCAGTTCCAACCCAGGACTGAACCCACAGACTCAAGTTAGCTCCATCGTGTTTTTCTCACAAGCCCTCAGGCAGGCTGTGTACCTTGTGCCAGCCCCCCACATCAACCACAGTGCTACACAGAGCTACCTACCACTCGTCCGTATAATCCAAAATCTTGGCACAGCCTGAACTGCTTGGATAACTATACTGTTATACACTGATTCACACACCCCCCACTGCTGCATACCTGTGACCTTAGCATGCCCTCACAGTGCAATTGTTTATACCATTCCACAAATTCCTCCTGGCATGTTCACCCCTGAACTGGCATCCTCCTTTAACATCACGCAGTACCGGGACCTTGGCTAACCAATCACACAACTTCACACTTAACTGTCTAACTCATATCACCACCAGAATTGATAACCACACCTCCCCCTCTGGCTTGGCCACTCCTACGTGCTCTGGCATACTTGTATTCTCTGGTAGACAAACTGATGGCCCAGTTCTGTCATGGTGCTCTCCTGCCTTGCCCACATCTGGCCCTGCCTGTAGCCTCTTGAGGTTACTCTTCAGGCACACACAACAGCATACTCACCCCTTCCATAGACAACCATCCTCTGGGCCCCACCCTGTCTTGCCTATGACCCAGGTCACAGCATATTAGGATCCCTACCTTTATCTTACTGAGGACACCCTCCAGGGAGGCAGAGCAGCATGCACTCCTTGTTCTTCCAATGACTTTTTCTGCCTCTGGGTCCCACCCTGTCTTGTCCATGTCGTGGGAGGGGGGGCTATTTTGGAGCCCTGGCAGCTAACTGACAGTTATCTTTGTCCCGCAGGGACCTACCAAGGCCAGTTCACCAACGGCATGCGGCATGGCTATGGTGTGCGCCAAAGTGTGCCCTATGGGATGGCGGTAGTGGTGCGTTCCCCACTGCGCACGTCTCTGTCCTCACTGCGCAGTGAGCACAGCAATGGCACAGTGGCTCCAGACTCGCCTGCAGCGGACGGGCCTGTGCTGCCGTCGCCTCCGGTACCGCGAGGTGGCTTCGCGCTCAGCCTGCTAGCCACTGCAGAGGCTGCACGTCCCCCGGGGCTGTTCACACGTGGCACACTACTGGGTCGGCTGCGACGCTCAGAGTCGCGCACATCGCTGGGCAGCCAGCGCAGCCGCTTGAGCTTCCTCAAGAGCGAGCTTAGCTCCGGCGCTAGCGATGCTGCGTCCACTGGCAGCCTGGCTGAGGGCGCTGAGGGTTCAGATGAGACTGCCGCGCCCTTCGATGCCGACATCGATGCCACCACCACCGAGACCTACATGGGTGAGTGGAAGAACGACAGGCGCTCAGGTTTTGGCGTGAGTGAGCGCTCAAGCGGCTTACGCTACGAGGGAGAATGGCTGGACAACCTGCGCCATGGCTATGGCCGCACCACGCTGCCCGACGGCCACCGTGAGGAGGGCAAGTACCGCCACAACGTGCTGGTCAAGGGCACCAAGCGCCGCGTGCTGCCGCTCAAGAGCAACAAGGTACGCCAGAAGGTGGAGCATGGTGTCGAGGGCGCGCAGCGGGCAGCAGCCATTGCTCGCCAGAAGGCTGAGATCGCAGCCTCCAGGTAAGAGCCTGGTCACCCCCATGCCGACAAGCCTGATACTGCATTTCTTTATTGTGCGAGTCACCCATGCATCTAGCTATCTACACATCGTGCCTCAGTCATCCACTCAGTGGCTGCCATGTACCCAATCCCAACCTTTGGCATATCTTATTCTCACATAACCCACCTGATAGCCATGTCTCTCCATCCATCCATCTATACATACATCCATACATCCATCCAACCTAGTAGTCGCCCACCCACACATCCCTGCAATCCCTTCACAACTTTAACACTCAGTGAGTGCCTCTATAACCCTTTTATCCATCAGCCACTTGCGGTCAGTCTCTTTCATATCTACCTCAGCAACCGTCCATCCATGCTCACCTTCATCCACACAGCCATCCCCGGCTGTTTAATATCTACCCAACCACTAATCCAACTACTCACAGATCTATTTGTCCACATACTCATCCCCCATCCACCAATCATCTCTATCTACTCAACCACTTCACCCATTGTAAAAGCCAGTAATGAATCCAGCCACTCATCCACACATTGCTTACAGCCACTTCATTTATTTGGCCACACAGCCACACTTTTACTCGTGCAAATATCTACTGACACTCACTCAGTACCCCTCCACCATCCAGCCATCTAGCTACCTCCATACCTAACCATACTTCCATCCAACCATTGGGCACACTTGGATTCACTCAACCCTGCTCACCTGTCCAGCCTGCCTCCCATACATCTGCTTGCCCTTTCATCTGCTCACCATGCACCCTATCATCTACGTCCTATCTCCTGATGTATTTTCATTCTAAAGCAGACAGAGGTCTAATGTCTTCCAGTGTGTGTTAAACAATATCCATCCCTCCCATGACTTTAGCCACCTTACAGGGTTTCTTGTGCTTTGTCTAGGCACTCGCCCAGAAGGTTTGTGTTTCCCTATGTTGTGTCACTGTTTCTTAGTGATCCATCTTTGGCCAGTTGTGTTTTCTTCTCAACGCTCAGGAGCCCCACCTGTGCAAACAGGGCTGTTCTGAGGGTTGAGAAAACCAGCTCAGGTGAAATGCTCTTGGTGAGTCCCCTGGAAGCAGACTGTCAGATGGAGATCCGAGTGCAGGAGGATGTTTATGGGGAGCACTCTTAGGATCATCGCTCTAGAAGAGGGAAGAGACAGGATGGGACTGAAGGGGAGACTGAGCAGCAGTGATGTCTCCACAAAGGCTTCCATCAACCATGTGGGGTGCTCTGTAGAGGGATATCATTGTATTTGGGATGAGGCAGTTGGACCAAATCCTCTAAGTGGAATGTAGACTTCTCTTCAGAATGGATCCATGGCCCAGGTCAATCTCCAGAGAGGGCTGGGAGTCTGTGGTTCTCCAAGTAGCTAGGGAGAAGGAAGTCCTTGGGTCCTGAGGCAGAATTTGGAAGGTTCTTTATAGTACCCACTACAGTGTGAACACCAAGTACAGGCACAATCATGCCAATATCCCCTGACAGCCAACAGATTTGACAGACGTGAAGCCGGGCTCAAAGAACACAAAAGTGTTGTAAGGAGTACGGTTTTTCCTCCTGCCTCTGGTCTTGTCCTGCCGCCACGCCAGCCCCAATTAACACACTGAGACTCTGTATTTGATATAATTCTGTTGGCCCAGTACTAGTTTCTTATCGGCTAGCTCTGTCTTAAGTATTAACCCATTTCTGCTGATCTATGTATTTTTCCTACCAGAGAGCCAGCCGGCATACTGCTTTCTCCAGACTCTCCAACTTGACCCCTCCTTTCTACCTCCTATTTCCTCCTTGTCTCCTAGCCCCTCCTATCTTCATTTCCTATTGGCCAACAGTGCTTTATTCATTAACCAGTATGAGAAACATATACAGAATGACATCTCCCATCAATGTGTCTGTATCCCTCCCTTTTTTATGCCATGACCATGCCATTATCTGACAGAAACAGAGAAGATGAGCTTTCTCACCCAGCTCTGAGGGTTTCAGTCTGTTGTGCACAGGAGGACATGGCAGAGCAACACAGTCCACGGTGGCCAGAGAGTGCGGTAGCGGCATCGGCTCTTCCCGCGTGGACCTGCAAGCAGGGAGTGAGGCAGGAAGTGGATGAAGAGTACACCACACCCAGTGACCTTTTTATTTAGTTATTTAAATAAGGAACAATCTTAGTTTACATGCCAATCCCAGTTCTCTCTCCCTCCCATCCTCCCACGCCCCCCACCAACTCCCCATCCCACCCTTTCTACTCCCCAGCGAGGGTGAGGTCTCCCATGGGGTCTCATCATTTGGAGTCACCTAGTGACCTTTCACCAGCTAGGCCTCACCTCCAACACTTTGGAGAACAGGCGTTTGGAGAGCGTGGGGGCTGGAGAGATGGCTTGGCAGTTTAGTGTTCACCGCTCTGGCAGAGGACTTGGCATTGCTTCCCAGCACCCACAGCCGCCTTCAACTCTAGCTCCAGGGACGCGATGCCGTCTGACTCTGCAGGCTCATGTATGAATGTGATGTACATGTACACTCAGGTGTGGGCACATACACATAAAGGAATAAACAAACAGGTCTTTAAAACATGAGCCTGTGGGGACATTTCTGTTTTAAACTGTGACAGTTTAAACCCGACTGCATGAAGAAAGCAAACAGGAGGATTCTTAAGCCAAAGCCTTCTGATTCCAAGGCTTTATCCTGCATAACCTTAAACTTCAAATTGTTGTGAATGTAACAGTTAGTACTGCAAAATAGGAAAGAGTGGTTTTTCTTAAGATGTCTTGGTTAAGGGCCACTAAGGTTAGACTGTTGCTCCCATCTGGACTCGTGGGGAAATATAATTGCTGTACTAATAGTCTCAAGAGGTGGGAATTTTGAGAAGTGATTGAATCACGCATGCTCTGCTTCATGGGTAGGACCAATGCCATTAGAAAAGGGTGAGTTTGCCCCCCCTCCCAGCGAGCCCCACAGCGTGTGTTGCATGTACACAAACATGTGTACAGATGGCACGTGGAAGCCAGAGATCAACTTCGGGTGTCATCTTGCAGGAGCTATCATCCACCTTGCCTTTTAAAACAGTGTTTCTCACCAGGCCCCGAGCTTGCTGGTGCCCAGAGAGCCCCCGGGATCCTCCTGGTTTTGCCTCCCCAGTGCTAGGATCATAAACATGAGCCATCTTGCCTGGCTTTTTGCATGGGTGCTGGAGTTTAAACACAGACCCTCATGTTTGTGTGACAGGAACTTTACTGACTGCATGAGTTCTCCACCCCTCGTTTGCCTTGGACATCACAATCCAGCCTTTATCTTCTTCAAAGGCTAGAGTGTACATGCCATTATGAAAGAGAATGGCCTTATCTAAAGCTGAACTTGCTTTGACTTGTCAGTCTTCAGAATGGTGAGCAATAACTTCCTGTGGCTATAAACTGTGCAGTCTGAGGTATTCTGTTACAGAAGCACAAATGGACTGAGGCAGACCGGGCCTACGAGCAGGTGACCATACGATTTATTGTTCAACCATGAATACTTTCATGACTTAAAAGGAGCACTTTTGGAAAAGCCCAACTTTTATGTTGGAGTAATTTTAAGTTTGTAGGAAAGTTGTGAGGAGGTGGCTTGGTGGAAGGGAATACTGTTCTTGCTAAGGACCAGAGTTCAGTTCCCAGCACCCAGATCAGACAGTACATAACCTCCTGTAACTCCAACCCCAGGAAATCTCATGTCCTCAACTTGGCAGGCACATGTACAGCCCTCCCACCTACAAATCAAATATCTCCTACAAGATGAAAGTTGTGAGGAGATACGAAGAGCTCTCGTGTCCTTCCACCAAAACGCATATGTCGACTTCTTGGATTGCCACAATGCATTTGTCAAACGAGAGGTGCAGAGTTAGCTCAGTCAGCAAAGTGCTTGACTGATAAGCATAAGGTCGTGAGTTCGATCTCCAGAACCACAATAAAGCACGCGCGCGCGCGCACACACACACACACGCACACACACACACACACACACACACACACACACAAGCAAACAAGCCAGGTATGATGATGTCCTTGTAACCTCACTGTTGGGGAGGTGGGGACAGGTGCATTCTGGGGTCTTTCTGGCCAGCCAGGCAGCTGGTAGCTGAAGAGCAACATCTGATGTCTGCTGACTTCCACACACATACATACATGCATCTGCATGCATGCATCTGCATGTGTGTATCTGCATGAACACACACAGACACACAACATTAGCACATTATCATCCACTGAACTCTAGGATTCATTTGAATTTTGCTTGTTTTCCTGTAAACGCCCATGTCCTTCTTCCCTTCCTCCGTCCCTCCGTCCCTCTATCCCTCCCTCCTTCCCTCCTTCCCTCCCTCATTCCCTTCCTCCCTTCTTTCCTTCCTTTCTTCCTCTCTCTCTCTCTCTCTCTCTCTCTCTCTCTCTCTCTCTCTCTCTCTCTCTCTCTCTCGATTCTTTGGGAATTCTGCATCATGCATCCCAATTCTGATCATTTCTCAGTCCCTCCAATGGTTGTGGCTAGTGGGAACCAGGGCTGTCTTGGGTTACCTGTGGACAGAATACAAACACGGTCAGAAGACCTTGAGACGATCCTCTGCCTCTTGTACCAGCCATGTGACCTTGCCCAAGCTGCTTGCCCACTCTGACTGGGATCCTCATGCCTCATGGGGAGATTAGGAAGAAACAAGCTAGTGATTGGCATGGAGCAGCCGGCAGCAGTAATCACTGTCAGTCAACATGCTCAGCTTTTTAGACAAAGCAATGGATACTTGGTGAGGAGCACTTTCCTTAAACTATCCCTGTGGGACATAGAGATACTCTTGCCTTCTCTCTTACTTTCCCTGCCCTTGTCCTTGCAAGCAACCATGCATCTGAATGTGTGGCACTGTCACCAAGAAGGTTCTCAGGTACTGGAGCTGGCCTGTGCTTGTGGAATGAGAAACTGGTACCTAGACACTCCTATGTACAGCTACACTGGCTGTGTGCAGGAAGCTCTGGGGAGAGCTAGAGGCT